GCTGCGGCACTTGCGGAAACCAAATTGAGAAGGGGAGAGGAGGTGATGGTGTTCCAGGAACCACATCAGACGAACGTTAACCATACGTTCAAAGAGTTTGCAGACACAACTTGTGAGAGCAATAGGGCGAAAGTCCTTAGGGGAAGTACCCAGAGACCCCGGTTTGCGAACAGGGAGGACAACGGCATCGAGCCAGTCCTCAGGGACTGACGACGACTCCCAGATCCGATTATACAGACTCGGTAAATACCGAGACGTGCACGGAGGGAGATGGCGAAGCATCTCATAATGAATACCATCGGAGCCCGCCGCCGTAGAACTGCAGAGGGCCAGGGCAGAACGAAGTTCAGAGAGAGAGAGAAGGGATCATTATAGGGAAGTTGAAGACGAGTGCAGAAATCTAAAGGACGAGACTCAAGGACAGGTTTACGAAGAAGAAAAGATTGGGGAAGATGAAGACCAGAGCTAACAGAAGAAAAGTGGGAACCCAGTACGGAAGCGACCTGCAACGGGTCCGCCACAAGAGTATCATGGAGGTGAAGGACCGGTGAAACATCGGGAACGAATTTACCCGCTATCTTGCGGATACGCTTCCAGATCTGGGCCGGAGGAGTTTCGGACGTAATTGTCGAGACATAAGATGCCCAACATTCACGTTTAGTCGTACGGATGGCCCTACGGGCCACCGCACTCGCTTTCCGAAAGAAAAGAAAAGAATCGGTCGTCTGCCTACGGCTGTGCCTCTTCCAGGCTGCATGCTTACAGCGGACAGCCCGAGCACAGTCCGCATTCCACCAGGGAACGCACTTCCGTGGACCCCGAGAGGAAGAGCGAGGGATAGAGCGGAGGGCAGCGTTGAAGACAGTGTCATGAAAAAGGAGGAGAGCGCGAGAGAGAGGCAGAAGGGAGAGGTCAGAGAGAGTAGCACTGAGGGTAAATAGGGTCCAGTCCGCCTTAGCAAACTGCCACCTAGGGAAAGAGAGGGAAGGGCGAAAAGAGAAAAAGGAAACAAGGATGGGGAAATGATCACTTCCGTGGAGGTCATCAAGAACCTGCCACGTGAAATCTAAGTAAAGAGAAGAAGAGCAGAGAGAAAGATCAAGACAAGAAAGGGTGAGAGTCCGAGAGTCCAAATGAGTGGGCTCACCAGAATTCAGAAGAGACAGGGAAGAAGAGAGGACAAACGGCTCAAGAAGGCGACCCCGGGTATTCGTCAGAACGTCACCCCAAAGAGAATGACGACAACTGAAGTCACCCAGCAGGAGCACAGGCTCCGGCAAGGAGTCTAGGAGGTGTTTCAAATCAGGAAGAGAAAGCGGGACACTCGGGGGGGGAGATAAATGGAACAAACTGTGTACCATTTCCCCACAAAGATACGAGCAGCAGAACAATGGAGAGGCGAAGGAAAAAGTAAAGGAACAAAGGGAACATCAGCACGAATCAAAAGAGCAGAAGAATTAGAAGCCCCAGCAACGGGGGGCGGGGGAGAGAAAGGAATAGCCACGAAAATGACCAGTACGAGCACCAAGCATTGGCTCCTGGAGACAGACACAAAGGGGCAAAAACCGCGAAATCAGAAGTTGGAGTTCGAGGAAATTGGGGTAATAACCTCGAACGTTCCATTGAAGAATGGACAACGACGAGAAGAGAAAGGACAAAAACAGAGAACAGGGAAGAAACAAAGGCGAATGAGCAACACAGCACGTAGAGAATATCAGGGTCGGGATCAGGGTCATCAAAGTCAGGGTTAGGGGGCATGGGTAAACTGAGCAAAGACGGAGGGAAGGAAACGGGAGAACAGATCAGAGGTGTGTGGGCGGGGTCCGGAGGAGGAGGAGACAATGGAGAGGAGCAGTCAAGGACAGCAGCAGGAAGAGGAGGGGTAGAAAGAGGGGAGCGTACCTCAGCAAGGGCAGCAACCGAGAGGGAAGCGGGGGCTTAAGAAACCTCCATAGCAGGAACAGGGGGCACAAACACCGAAATAGGAGGGGAAGGAGCGAGAGGGGCAGAAGTAGGGGCCGAGGAAGAAAGCGAAACCTTCTTACCCGCCGGGAGGAGGAAGGAGAGGAGCCAGGTTTACGCTTCTGACTTAAAGAGACAGGTGTCCCAGCAACCACGTACTGGGCAACAGATTCTAGCGTCTCAACAGGAGAAGCTGAACGAGAGCACACATGACGGCCGTTTGGAGAGCGATGGACATCAGCCCGCACCGACAGGCGGCAGGGAGAGTCAAGAGACGGAGGGGAAGGAGGAACGGAGGGAGACGAGGAAGAAGACACAGGAGACACGACAGACCGGGTAGAAAGAAGGGGAACCCCAGACAGAGGACCAGGAGGTGGATCCTTCGGGAGAGAACCCAAAGGAACAGAGGAGGGGGCAGTGGGCATATCAGGATCCAAGGCCCGGAAACGGTTGTGAGTCTGAGGAAGGCGGGGAGGACGAGGAGAGGAAGAGCGCAACACGCGAGCATAAGAGATATTAGCATAAGGCGGGAGCCGGCGAACCTGGCGTCTCGCCTCAGGAAAAGATAAACGCTCCCGGTGCTTCAAGTTGAGGACGGCTGCCTCAAGCTTGTAATGGACACACGCACGGGAGAAGGTAGGATGGGCCTCATCGCAGTTGAGGCAACGAGCCTGGGGAGAAGTGCACTCCGATTTAGAGTGACCTTCGCCACCACACAAAGGACAGAGAGAGACAGTCCCGGAGCAGCGGAGGGCACCATGCCCAAACCTCCAGCACTTGTTGCAGAGCCGAGGAGAAGGAATGTACTCCTGGACAGAGCACCTGGCACCAGCAAGAATGACAGAGGGTGGAAGGGTCCTACCATCAAAGGTAATCTTCAACACCCGGAGTGGTTGACGGCGACTACCACGAGGGGAACGAGTAAACGTGTCCACCTGGAGAATAGAATGGCCCTGGGCAGCAAGGATATGTCGAATATCGTCGTGGCAGTCGCGCAGGTCCCGAACACCGGTCGCAACATGGGGCGGGAGCAGAATAGTGCCAACACTGGCATTCAACTGAGCGTTCTTCGAGACCCGAACAGGGGTCTCGCCAAGGCAGGATAAGGCAGCCAAGCGGGAAGCAGCATCCTGAGAAGGAGCAGAAACGACACGTGTACCGAGACAAGTAGGGTTGAAAGTAACGGAGGCATCCACGGAATCAACGAGATGTCGATGGAGGGAGAAATCGTCAGGAGGCGCAGAATCAAGAGGGAGGAGATCAAAATATTTGGCCCACGAAGCGGGACCAAACAAGGCTTGATAGGTAGCAGAACTGGAAGGAATCGAGCGAGGGCAGCCGTGACGAGGACGGCGGTGAGAACCCCCAGAGAGAGAGGAGTTAAAAAGCGCAGTAGTTACAACTAGAGAAGGAGCCGCGCCAGGGGACGAGGGAGTCACCACTGGGGGCTTGGGGCTCGACCCAACCACAGAGGAGTGAGGGGAGCCAGGGGAAGGAGTCATAGAGGCCAAAGGAGGAGCAAGGTCGGGGCCCAATGCAGCAGAGGCTACAGAGCCCGGTCTTCCAACACGGACTGACTCGGGGGCTTGGTCGCCCACCCCACGAGCCTGAGAAGGTAAACCAGAAGCAGCCGAAACAGGGGTCATCATCATTACGAAAAGAAAAATTCATTCACGAATGTGCCCCCACAACCACCATGGAGCCACAATTAGAGGCAGAACACCCAACAAGAAGCTATCGCCGATCTTGCCGGGGCCTCCTAGGGGTGCGTCGTGAGTATACGCCCCACAAACGCCACCTTAAGAAACCGACAGTCCGTCGAGATCGGGTTCAGTGACGAAAGGGGGATTGACAATAAAAGGTTCCCCTTGCTCTCTACGTCGGGTACTACAGTTCTACGGGTGCAAGAGTATGCCTCCTCAAGCACCCGGGCGTCAAAATAGAAGAAGTCCAAGGGAAGAACCAAAACAAGCGAAAGGTCGGCAGGAAACGGCAAGCAGATAGGAGAAGAGGGGGGAGAAAAACGAAACAGAAGGAAAAGGTGCCCAGCAGAATTGGAGAGGACGGCAGCAGGAGCACAAGGCTAGAAAAGGACAGAGGACTGTCCCAAGGAGCATCACACTCCGGCAGCCGCCCACTAAGCCCCCACACGGCAACAACGAGCTGAGCGGGTAGGGGGCAGCATATTTAAATGAGCTCGAGCGGCTGTGTTCTCTCTGGCTGGCAGCTGCGGCGTCCTGACTTTCCCTGTGGGACTCTGTCTTCCTCCTTTCTCCTCTACCTATAATCTATGTCCAAGATAAGTACCATCTTTATACATTTACCGTGCTACCTGGTTAGGTATACTTATAGTTATTTTGTAGTCTAAGCCAGTGTTTTGGCATCACTAAGTGTACTCCTGTGTGACTAGTGTACCACGTGGGTCATAGCTACCCAAGCTGCTTCAAGCCTTACAAGTGCTTTTCTCCAAGTAGACTTTACGCTAGTTTGTAAGTGCAAACCTTGCATCCTGCTTATGTGGACCAAGGTGTTTAACATAAGATAGAGTGGTAAAGAAAATAGTTGTATTAATGAATATGGGGGGTTATTAGAGGGTTTAATAAATAAGTTAGTGTATGAGAAGTATCAATTCATCCTGTTGAAGTGGGTAGATGATTAGCTACTAGACAGCAGACCTGTAACCTAACACATTGAATCATTAACAGGAACCTATGTTCCTTGGGAGCTGGGCCTATCTATCCCACTATTTTAGATACCTCTTGACTCGAGCTATTGGCCCTTTTCAGTACAACCCACATACCCCCCATAACACCCCCACCCCACGTTGATGACACAGACCCCACGTTGATGACACAGACCCCACGTTGATGACACAGACCCCACGTTGATGACACAGACCCCACGTTGATGACACAGACCCCACGTTGATGACACAGACCCCACGTTGATGACACAGACCCCACGTTGATGACGCGCGACTGTAGCATGTGTCCAGGCTGGATACTGTTAGGAGAACGTCAAGAGGAGACAACACTCACCAGCTGGGTGACAGGTTGAGCACACCCTCAGTGGCGTCCGCTTCCAACCACACCTGGGGATATACAGACGGACGAGTGGTCATCACGCAGCTCTCAAAACTAAAGTGATTGGGCAGAGGTAGTGCATATATATAATCAAGGATGAGATGATGGGACAAATGCATGATTGATGTGGATGTTTCCATCATTATAGAGGCTTGAATATTGTGCACCCTATACTCTCCCTGGGGTAGTTGTTTATTGTGCACCCTATACTCACCCTGGGGTAGTTGTTTATTGTGCACCCTATACTCACCCTGGGGTAGTTGTTTATTGTGCACCCTATACTCACCCTGGGGTAGTTGTTTATTGTGCACCCTATACTCACCCTGGGGTAGTTGTTTATTGTGCACCCCATACTACCCCTAAAGTGGTAGTGTATTGTTCACCCCATACTACCCCTTAAGTAGTATGTGTTTGTTATGACCCTGGACCCAACATTAAAGGGATCCAGAATCGTATTGCACTTGTTTACATACGTAATAGGGATCTTTCACCCTCTTGGGTATTTTAATGATAGGTCCTGAATGTGTTGGATTGTGTGTGGAATTAGTGTTATTTAAATCAAGGTTTTTTTTTTTTTAGATATGTTTGGGTTAAAGCAGAAGTGAACTCAGATCATTTATATACAAGAGGACTGAACTTCAATTTGCAAATGGCGGGCGATCGCTTCCCTGGCAGACGTAAGAGCAGTTTGATGCTCAAAGAGTTGTAAGTACACTATGATAATCTGTTAGTATATTGTAAAGCTAGGATGTCCTATTTATACTTAGAACTGCAAAGTGGTAACTTAATATTTTGTTAGGGATTCAAGTATGGTTACTGTACGTCAGTTGGTCAAGCAGGCAACAAACCACATGGAGGCAGGGTTGCCAGATTGGGCTACAAGTAGCGAATTGGGCTACTTTTGACAGCCTTGCGCTCCCAAATTTTTAATTTTGCTACTTGCGACTTTTTGGGCTAGTTTAAACAACCCGTCCTCTTAAAAATAACGTCACTTTTGGCTGGTATGCGCGCTATGGCCAAATTTGGACGTAATTTTAAATGAAATCGACTCACAAAAGTGACGTTCTGTTCCATTTTCTATTTGAGCCGTCCGGCTTACGCGCAGAGGTTATAAGAGGACACTTTAAATTAACGTTTTCCATAACGTTTTGAAACTTTATGAGAATTTCCTGCCCACCTAACCTATCAGAGGACCCTTAACTTACTGTTGTTGAAAAAAAAAAATCCCAAATTTATATTCATTTTTTTTTCATTTTCAAATTACGTCCAAATTCGGCCATACGGACAAAAGGCCAAAAGCGACGTTCTTTTTAAGAGGACAGGTTGTACAAGCAAGTTGGGCTACTTTGGCCTATTAATATTAAGAAACTCTATGATGATTATTTATGCTTTTATAATATAATGTGTACAAATTACAGCCGCGTCCAACAGCCTGATTGACTAGACCACTTACCGCAGGAGCCCTAGTCAGAGACCGGCCCCTGGGGACATTTATCCTAGAAACCTTCGAAAGAAAAAGTAACCGCAAGGCAAGGTAATCCTTCCCAGGGGCCATAGATTTCCCAACCTTAATTGTCATTAATACTTCATTCCAAAAGCTACAACTGGTTCCACAGATCTTCATTAAGGGGAGAAAATTATCTAGAATTTACAGATTGATAAATGATGGGAGAGATCCTTTACAGTTAATACCTTTGTCAGGAAGACGGTGGTTGGCAAGGAGCGGTAGTGTAAAGCGGCTGTTTGATCAGTGGAATTCTCAAACAACTCATTACCAAATAGCTTTTTCCTCTTGTGATAAATATGTTGCAAAGCAACTATTTTCAATGTACGCTGATCTCTCCAATAAGCTATATTTCACATGTCTCAAACCAATCCTAAATGATTTTGAAAGGATGAATTGACTATCAAAAAGGTGAAGCAGATCAGTGTAGCCTTCACACTGTCTTAGAAAACTTCACTCTTGGAATACTCAGAAGAATCGTGCATCCTCATCATGCAAAGCTTCATGTTAATTTGAACTACAATTCTATGTATCTGCCCCTGGAGAAAGTTGACTTTGGTTACGAATTTTCAACACTTCGGGCCACTAACAGACACAATAATTTTATAACCCAGGACAAGTTTCAAAATATTCAAGAAAGATGCGATAATTGTTTAGTGAAAGCTTCCAAATAGCTTCTCTCATATTCTAAGTAATGTTGAAACTTTAAAAAAAGATGAAAAATATGTCACCTAGCATATGCCTTAGCCACACACGGCCTCCATTTTCAGAACTTCCATTAGTATTAGCTGACCAACCTAAGCTTAGTGAAATTGAAAGTCAGTGGCGCCTACTGTTAACCATTGACTGGTCCAACATTTGTGAGGGACAAATTCCAACTTCTGGATCATCATTTTAGACCAAGATGTGGGAACCGACCTGTGAGATTTATATTTAATTTATATGAATTTATATAGAATTTATATTTACGTTAATTTATATATTTCAATAGCAATTTGTATGATGTTAAGTGGACTGTATTTCTGCAATAATCTCTCAAATCGATCCACACGAATTAGGGGGGGGTTTATATTAAATTTATATATATGCAGCCAATCAAACTACAGTATTAACTATATATATTAGTATACATTGAGGAGGTTCCTTATCTTATTGTACAGCAGGCTTAGTCCACCAGGTATAACCAGGATGTTAAACACCAAATTATTCTCTATTGAGGCTAGCTTCCATCACCCAGTAACTGATATACCAAGCTTGCTTCCTCTTCTTGACCTGTCAAAGGGCGCTAGCTGTAAAGCCAGAATCCTAATATATGACAGCTATATTAGAGAAAACACTGTACAATGAATCACAAGGACCAAGGCTTAATTACCTTTATTGAGTCGATCATTTGTGTTCTCACAGGTTCGCCCAATATCTACCTAACACTAATGGCCAAAAATGATTAGATAAACGGGTTTCGGAAAGACACCTCCCTTGTATTTGTTGACAGCGTGTGTCCCGTATTAGAGTTGCAGGGGTTAGAAATCTTATGCGATTTCATTTCCCTGTTAACTCTTGAGAGGCTAAAATTAAAGCCTAAATACATATTATTTAACCCAGAAGACTGAATGTGATCAAGTACTACAGTCAAGTATGATTCAGGGACTGCAGTGAGATCAGTGACATTAGATATAACTTGAAACTTGTTCAGGTAACTGGTCACTGATATATAAACACTGAGGCCCATGGAATACATCTTGATTAAATAATAAATGTATCAAAATCAGTCGTCAGATTTATTGGGATTTAATTTAGTTAATTGATTCAGAGGATTGAATAGCCCATTATTAAAGCCAAGTATGGTTCCGAGACTGCAGTGGGTTCAGTGACATTGGTCGCAGTGACTTGTAGCTGTTTCGGCTGCTGTTCACTGATTTGCCACTGAGGCCTCATGAACTCATCTTCAGCTTTAAATGATGATACTAACATCAACCTCTGTTGCTATAGTCAGCTGTAATCTCCTTAGTATAATGCTACTGGAGAAATATAATCAGCTGACAAATTTAGATTTCTATTGGTATTGTTTATCTGCAGTCATAGGTCTCCTCAGGCTTAATACTGGGCCTGAGAGTAATTTCCCTCCTGCAGAATTTAGCATGGTTATGCCCTGATATTTAGTAGGGCTACCAATGAATCGATGGTAGTAGTCTGTACCTACAAGGAGACCGAAGTCGGTGAGGTGATCAGACTTAATATTATCTGCCAATTTTATTCCTCTATTTCTCAGGAATTTGGCTGTTGCTCTCAGACCTTGAACTTGTAGGTCTACTGGTATTTTGTCCACCACAATGGCTTGTACTTGACAGACGTACCTGCCTAAACGTACTTATGGTTGTACCACCTGGTAGACTTGAGGTCCTCCCTGGAAACACAAACCGAAACTGTCTCTATTTTCCGCTTGTTACAACTTGTAATAAAGTTGTTACATCTTGGCTTAACGTGTTTATGACGTATTAGAACGTTGTTACAACTTGCTATATTGGTTGTTATAACTGGTTAGGAGGTGTTAAAACTTGTTCGAACGTTGTACCAACGTCGTAGTTTCGGTGTGTGTTTGGCGGGCTGCATCTGTTATAAACCCTGAGATGTTGACTGTCGTCTGGGCTACAGGCTTTAATTGTAGTTCATCTGCCAACTTTTTAGTGACAAATGTTCTCTGGGATCCTTGGTCAAACAACCCACGGGTATGGACCTTGGCCCTCTTATTCTCGATGGTAATTTGGGCAGTAGGCAAAGTCGCATTACCTTTAGACTTTGCCGATTGGACACTCTTTGTTTGTTGCACCTTGCAGTACTGTACTGTGGTGGGAATGCTGTCTTCCACCTTGGGGGTTTGAATACGTTAATTTCGTATGTTTGCACAGTGCTGCATGGTGCCTACCTCTTCTACACCTGTTGCGGGTGTTGAATTGGGTATCACAATAGTCTATGTTGTGTGACTTGAGACACCTTGAACATCTCCCTAATTCCTGGAGTCGCTTAATACGTGTCTCTGTCTGGATAATTAGCACAACAGTATGCTGAATGTTTCTTTGTGCAGAACATATGCACATACCCTCGAACATACATGTCCCCCATGTATGTTCGAGGGCGTGGGACCTCGTAGCCTGGTGGATAGCGCGCAGGACTCTTAATTCTGTGGCGCGGGTTCGATTCCCGCACGAGGCAGAAACAAATGGGCAAAGTTTCTTTCACCCTGAATGCCCCTGTTACCTAGCAGTAAAATAGGTACCTGGGTGTTAGTCAGCTGTCACGGGCTGCTTCCTGGGGGTGGAGGCCTGTTCGAGGACCGGGCCGCGGGGACACTAAAGCCCCGAAATCATCTCAAGATAACCTCATCTCAAGATAACCCCCAGCCTACTGCACGTTTGGAAGATACCGGTTTGGGTCAACTAGCAACAGTAGGCTTGGAGGATTCTGCTGCATTGCCAGATTTTCTGCAACTTGATGTTAGAGTAATTG